TACACACCTATTATAAGCTTCCACTTATCATTGGTTAACCACTACTACTAGTCTGCCTTACACACAATATAATTGGTTATTAACAGATCAATCATAAAATGCTTAACCGTTTTTCTCCACCCCAACTATCTTCAACTTCTGCATCCCACACCCAGGAGTTGTTTACCTTGCTACCTTCTTTCTCCTTCCAACCACAGCTGCAGCTTAGCTTGCAGCTTGCTCAGGCCCTGCTAGCAAAGCTGGATTGCTCACATGTCTGTTAGAAATCAGAAATTCTCCCACAGTAAACTATTTCCAGTGTAGAACCCCAGGATCGTTGGGGCTGGAAGGGACCTTGGTGATCACCCAGTCCCATCCCTTTCCCTGGAGCAGGTTCTCAGATCCTCCTCCCACCTCACCCCTGCTGTTTTATCCCTTCTCTTTAACAGGCTTGAAGGCTACCACCTCAGTGTCCCTCCAGGAAGCTTTTGACAAGCTGACCCCTCGTCCTGCAGGGATTATAGACCAGCTGAGCGCTGTCCCCCACGTGCAGGAGCCCCTGAGGGTGACAGCCAGCGTGTACATCCCGGCCCACGGGCGCCTGGTGTGCGGCCGCGAGGACGGCAGCATCATCATCGTGCCTGCCACGCAGACAGCCATCGTGCAGCTGCTGCAGGGGGAGCACATGCTCAGGAGAGGTGGGGAGCCCCTCAGGGGCGTGGGCAGTGAGCACTGGGATGAGTTAGAGGCAGAGGTCTCGTGAATCTGCTGCTCCGTTGCGTGGCGAGAGTCGCAGGGCTGGGGGAGGTCCCTTCCCTGGGTCTGTGTGGCAAGTTTTCCGTGGCTCTCTTGTAAATTTGGGCTCTGGGTAATGGATCCCAAAGGGTGAAGTGTTGAATAGTTTTGTGATCGGTTGCAGAACAGACTTTTGGGGTTTGATTGTGACTAAGGAAGAGGTGAACGTTTGTGTGTCAATGCACCTCTGGGCTGGTCAGGTGCAGCCAAGGCTCTTGGTTGCTCTGTTGCCTTTACCAGAGCTGGTTTAATTTGGGTGACTTTAGGCCAGAATGAGTTTTTTCTCAATGTGGAAAGAGATGATGAATAGCAAAACCAGGATGAGTTCTCTGAGAATAAGAACTGTGGTGAGTCTGTTCTTAGTCAAGACCATCTGACGTGTTTTTCCTCTCCTCTCTCCCTCTGCCCTGCCCCAGGTTGGCCACCCCACCGGACGCTCCGCGGCCATCGGAACAAGATCACCTGTTTGCTGTACCCTCACCAGGTGTCCTCCCGCTATGACCAGAGGTACCTGATCTCAGGGGGTGTGGACTTCTCTGTCATCATCTGGGACATCTTCTCAGGAGAGATGAAACACATCTTCTGTGTCCACGGGGGAGAAATCACCCAGCTGCTAGTCCCGCCGGAAAACTGCAGCGTGAGTCTCACGGGATGCGTCCCGAACCTTTCCAGCCCCTCAGACCTCCTTGAGAATAGGAGTGCAGTGTGGAGTGCTGAAGGTGTAGCACTCACCCAGCTCTTGCTAAAGAGAGCTTAATTATTCTGCTAATCATGGGCTGGTTCTCATCATGGTTAGGGGTTTAAAATAGAGGGTTTATTAAACCTACTGAAATAGGTTTTAAAGGCAATTTTGCCTCATAACTCGGGTAAGTAGAATTGAATGAACAAAATTTCATTAAATGCTTGAAAATCATGGTTCCTCTTAGTTTTGTTGAGCAAAGTGGGTTTTAATTCCTGTTTGTTCTTTATGATGTACACAAAGATGGATCAGAGGAAGTTTCTAACAGGCAGTTGTTTCTAGAGGCCTTAGTGGAAGATGGATCAGAGGAGGTTTCTGCCAGGCAGTTGTTTCTAGAGGCCTTAGTGAGTCTGACCATGGATTTCGGTGCCTGGTTTATAAAGCAGCTTTGTGGTCACTCTGCTTGCTGCAGTGGAGAAAAGATTTTTGACCACAAACCCTCTGCATCAGGGTGAAGATGTGTCTCTCTTTCCATCAGGCAAGGGTCCAGCACTGCGTGTGCTCCGTTGCCAGCGACCACTCCGTGGGCCTGCTGAGCCTGAGGGAGAAGAAGTGCATCATGCTGGCCTCCCGCCACCTCTTCCCCATCCAGGTCATCAAGTGGAGGCCCTCTGATGACTACCTGGTGGTGGGGTGCTCAGATGGCTCCGTGTACGTCTGGCAGATGGACACTGGTGAGTGCAAGGGTGTTTGTCACACACACACACACACGGTTTGGGGACAGCTCTGCGTCCGAGGGCACAGCTCAGACACTTCTTGGACTTGGAAACAGTCACTCCAGGTATTGCCCGAAGCAGTCACCACTCTGCTCAGTACACAAACACTTTGTGGGTGTCTTAAGCTTCGTGGAGAACTCCATCCTTTCACGAATATTAGTTCCAAACCAGCTGATAAAAGTTTTCCACGTCGTGTCCAGTGCCGTGGGGTATTTCCGCCCTGTGACATTTGGGGTTGTGAGTGGTTGCTGCTGGGGACTCAGACCCTCCCAACCTTTGCAGGGGCCCTGGACAGGTGTGTGATGGGCATAACAGCAGTGGAGATCCTGAATGCCTGTGACGAGGCCGTGCCAGCGGCCGTGGACTCGCTGAGCCACCCAGCAGTGAACCTGAAGCAGGCCATGACGCGCCGGAGCTTGGCCGCGCTCAAGAACGTGGCCCACCAGAAGCTCCAGACTCTGGCCACCAACCTGCTCGCCTCTGAGGCCTCGGACAAGGTCAGGTGGGCCTCAGGTGGCTCTCGGTGCAGCACCTGAGACACTTCCCCTTTAGTCTGGAAAAGCCTTCTGAGATCACCGAGTCCAATCGCTCCCTCAGCGCAGCCGAGGCCACCGCTAACCACATCTCCAAGTGCCACATCCACGTGGCTTTTGAGTCCCTCCAGGGCTGGGGACTCCACCACCTCAACATCTCTCAGGGCTGGGCAGCCCTTTCCGTGGAGGAATTTTCCCAGTATCCACCCAAACCTCTCCTGGCAGAGCTTGAGGCAGGGGCTGTGGCCAGCAGAGTGCAGCAGTGCTCTGCTCCAGCTTCTCCCTCCTTTATCCCTGTCTTTTGTGCTTTTATGGGTATCAAAACTCAGAGAGAAGGGAAATTTTGGAGACTTCCACAGTGAAAGGGTGTATTCTGGTGTAAAGGCTGAGTTAGAGGACAGGAAAGGCAGAGGAGAAAGAAGTGTGAACTCCTGTATTACCTGGGGAGCCTTATTGTCTGTAAGATGAGTTTCTGTATGTCGAGTTTCCAGCCTTGGATCGCCCACAGCTTCCTTAATTTCTGAATTAACCTTGGGCAAAGCACGAAGAAATTAACCCCGTAGAAACTGACGTTTGTTCTCTGGTTTCTTCCAGGGGAACTTACCAAAATACTCCCATAACTCCCTGATGGTTCAAGCCATCAAGACCAACCTAACAGACCCAGACATCCACGTGCTGTTCTTCGACGTGGAGGCACTGATTATCCAGCTGCTGACCGAGGAGGCCTCCAGGCCCAACACTGCCCTGGTGTCTCCAGAGAACCTGCAGAAAGCCTCTGGGGACTCTGACAAGGGAGGCTCCTTCCTGGCTGGCAAGCGAGCGGCCGTGCTCTTCCAGCAGGTCAAGGAGACCATCAAAGAGAACATCAAGGAGCACCTGCTGGACGACGAGGACGAGGACGAGGAAGCGATGAGGCAGAGGAGGGAAGATGGAGACCCTGAGTATCGCTCCAGCAAGTCTAAGCCACTGACTCTGCTGGAGTACAACCTGACCATGGACACAGCCAAGCTGTTCATGTCCTGCCTGCATGCCTGGGGCCTGAACTCCGTGCTGGACGAGCTCTGCCTCGAGCGCCTCGGCATGCTGAAGCCGCACTGCTCCGTCTCCTTCGGCCTCCTGTCCAGGGGAGGACACATGTCCCTGATGCTCCCTGGCTACAACCAGCCCGTGGGCAAAGCAGCCCCTGGCAGCGTGGAGCTGGGGAGGAAGATGTCCGTCACAGAGGGGCTGGGGAAGGGCACCTACGGCGTGTCGCGTGCCGTCACCACTCAGCACCTCCTGTCCGTGATCTCGCTGGCCAACACGCTGATGAGCATGACCAACGCCACCTTCATCGGGGACCACATGAAGAAAGGTCCCACCAGGTACAGCTCATCTCTCTGGGACCGCAGACCGTTTGAACTGAGCATTTTATTTTTACGGGGGGGGAGAGGGGTGGTGTGTTAAATGGCTCTGAAACGCTTCGGTGACGGAGCTGATCGTGTCTCTCCGTGGATGTTTTGTTTAGGCCACCCAGGCCAGGCACCCCTGAGATGGCCAGAGTGAAGCCACCCCCTCCCATTCCCAGTCATGCAGCCCAGGGACAGATTAAACAAGGTAAGAATCCTCTGGAACCGGCTGAGGTGTCGTTTCAGCTCTTGAAGTTCCCACCTTATTGTCCATCTCTTTTGGTACACCTGGTGCAAGGAGGCCTGGAAGGGGCTTGGGGCAGCCCTGGCCACTGCCCTTGGTGTGGAAGGTCTGGAAGGAGGTGGGATGCAGATGTCCCCCAGCACAAAGGCAGTTCCTGTCTGCAAAGCAAACAGCCCATCCCAAGACAATGCCGATCCGTTCGGGAGCTTGATCCCATTGTTGTTCTGCAAGGGAACAAAAGGCAGGGATTAGCTGGAAGATGCTTGTGCATGACATCTGGCCGAGGGGCTCGAGGAAGGAAGTGGCAGGCACTGACCTCCCAATCCCCACGGCGACCTCGGGGTGCAGCCCGTGCAGGCCAGAAGGTCTGCACAGCTTTTCAGGGCATAATGCTGAAGTCATGAGGCATTGGAGCAGGATAATGCTTGGAACTGCCTGGAAATCACATTTACACGGAGAAATGGTGATCCTAAAGGGCTTCACGGGGTGGATGTGGCACCTGGGGGCATGGGCAGTGCTGACACTGGGTGGCTGGGCTTGGTGGCCTACAAGGTACAAGAAATGAGAGTTTGCAAAGTGTCACAGGTACTGGTTTGGGTAACACCTTGTACTATGCACTGCACTTTGACTCACCCTGTGTGGTTTGTGTCCTTTAGGATTCTAGGCCTTTCTTTGGTACCACTTTAGCACTGTTTGCTCAGAGACCCATTTGAAATGAGCTGAAATTCAAACTAACCCTCAGGAATTCATCCTGGGACAGCTTGGAGTGACAGATGGGGCAGCCCAGGTCAGAGAGGGGCTTGTAATGAGTACTACAAATTCCAAATCCATGGAAATGTTGTTGGGAGAATGGCTAACAGCACAGGGACATAGTTCCCTGGAGGTGCTGTGTCAGCAAGGAGACTCCTACCAGCCCAAACAGGGGCTGTACTGCAGCACTGGGCATTCGATTTCCTTTTACCTTCCCTGAACGTAAAAGCACATGGGGAATCTCTTACCTCACTGATTTTTCTGTCATAATTGAAACTTGAAAAAAAAAGTTGCCAACTGACTTGCGTAGCAAAAGCAGGAGAAGCAGCAAAACTCCTGCTTTCATAATTCATAGTGGACCCTGAAGTCAAACCAAACCTTCCTGTCCAAAGATCTGTTTGTAATAGCTTTGTGAACAGGTAGTTTTTTGTCTGTTCAAACCATACAAGTTTCTGTTGGTGTCTCCATGTTCCTCTGCCTCTCACTTCCTGGAAAACATGTAATTCTTTTTGAGTTGAATGTTCTCATCAAGATGTTCTCATCAAGTTGGATGTTATCCTTAAGTTGAATATTCTCATTACGTTCAATATTATTTTTGAGTTGGATATTCTCATTAAGTTGAAATTATCACAGCTTCCTGCTGTTTTTCACTCCTCAGTGGTACTAATCTGTTTCCTGACACTGCTCTCCTCACTCTCCTCTATTTTTATCTCTTTATTTCTTCTTCTTTCCTCTGCAAGTTGCTCCTGCTGCTGCTCCTAGCACTGAAGCTGGGCACTCTGACACTGCTCCTCCTTTACATTCCTGTTTCTTAGTCAATGAAGGTATTCCTGCCTCATTTTTCTATCTATTTATCTTTTGTTTTGACTAAAACCCTTTGTCATTGTTATGGCTTTCATTTGATTTACGTAGGAATTTTCCCTTGCCAGAGAGAGGGTTTTGGGGTACTTGGGATCGGGTTTGCTGTTGTTATTAACAAGCTCCTCTTCCAATGAGCCAAGAAAAATCAGTTTCACACCATTTAAGTCTTGTTCTTGGTGTTTGTGAAGATTTGGGGGTCATTTGAACTTGTTGGGGTTGGTGCTGGATATGAGTTGGGTCTCGTAAGTATTTATGAGCACTGTGGAACTTGTCTTTGTGCAGAGACAACAACCAAACCCTTTCATGGCTCTCTAGGCAAGTTGCTTTGAATCAGAGCTTTTAATGCTAAGGTGTAAATTCCTGTTCCCATACATCTCCCAGACTGGAAATTCCTCTTTTTAATTCGTTTTTCCTGAAGGAAAATTGTCATCATCGTTCCTTTAGCACCAGGAAGAATTTGATCAGTGAGAGCACTTAGATTTTTGTGCTCAGGACTGGTGAGAATGGCAAAACAGATCTATATGCTCACCTGAAGACGTTCTGAAACCAATGTAGAACTTAATATTTCATGACTCTTGTCCAGGGAGTGTTTCACAAGCATTTTTACACACAGGCTAGTTTGAGCCACATGTTTCTCTCTGCTGGTTCTAACTACACATAGTGCAGACCTGCAGTAGGAATTCCCCTGAAGTAAGTGTGCTGAAGTAAGAGTTAGGTGGAAAAAACAAGGGGAGCAGGCAAACTGTGCTTGGATATGTTTGGATAACTTAAATCAGGACAGAAAATTCCATGTAATCCTTATAGGGACAGTTCATCTGCCGAGTTTACTGCAGGTTATTTGTGTCACTGCTCCCTGCAGAGCATGAGATATTAGGATAAATTTACTGGAACTTGGGATGCTTCAGTCTGTGCCCTTCCCATCCCTTTCCTGCTGTTTTCCCAGGCTGGACCCAGCTGGCTGCCATGCACTGCGTGATGCTCCCAGACCTGCTGGGGCTGGAGAAGTTCCGCCCTCCCCTGCTGGAGATGCTGGCACGGCGCTGGCAGGATCGGTGCCTGGAGGTGAGTGCAGCCTCATCTCCTGGGCATCTTCTGCTGGGCACACTCCCCTGAAACAAGATGTGTAGATATGTGTAAACCTATTCGTGTTTAATATTTTATACCATAAATGGACATAGAATCGTAGAATCAACTAGATTGGAAGAGAGCTCCAAGATTATCGAGTCTAACCCTACCATGGTCACTAGACCATGGCACTAAGTGCCACATCCAATCTTAGGCTAAAAACCTCCAGGGGTGGTGAATCCACCACTTCCTGGGCAGGACATTCCAATGCCTGATCACTCTCTCTGTAAAAAATCTCTTCCTAGTATCCATGGAATCCATGCTTAATTTTTTGCCTTCCGGATGCTGCACATACATTGGATAGGGAGTGGCTCTCGAGGCCTGTTGCTCTGGCTGTGTGTGTGGTGCCTGATGTTTGGTTCTGGTGTCCCTGCCCTCGCTGTGCAGGTGAGAGAGGCTGCCCAGGCCCTGCTGCTGGCAGAGCTGAGGAGGATCGAGCAGGCTGGTCGCAAGGAAACCATCGACGCCTGGGCTCCCTACCTGCCCCAGTACATGGACAGTGTCATCTCACGTAAGCAGTGCTGGGGAAGAACACTCGGGCTCCAGAGAAATGAGGGGAAAAAGGGATTTTGAACCCACAGTTGGAAATAGTCAATCCAGTCCTGGCCACTTCAGTCTATCTTGTTGGCACTGGAGTGGCTCCTGCCAAGGTTGTCCCTGGTCGTGAGTGGCCAAGCCTCAGCAGCCTCCAGGTCTGGAGTTTTCAGGCAAGAGGCCAGTAAAAATGGATATCTTCCTGAGTGAAAACATTTCTTTAAGCTCTGGCTGCTCATCTTGCTTAAAATGAGCTTTTTTCCCCACTGAGTAATGTGGTTTCTCTTCAAAGATCCCTATTAAATACCAATTTTGGAGTGTGTAATCACCTCATTAAATCTAAATGGAATGCATAAATTCCAGGGATGTTAGGATGTATTTTAATTACTCTGAGGTCAGTTGGGCTGAAAACTTTCCAGCAGGTCATGACTAGCAAATTGGATTTAAGGCTTCGCTATCAAGTGCTGAAAACTCTTTGAATTAAGGACAGAAAGTGTGAGGAATTGCAGGGGATGAGAATGATGTAGGGTGGACAGAAAGGCTGTAACAGACCTGTGGAAAGTCTAGTGTGCTGCTAGAAAGGTGAGGAGAAGAAATGGGGAAGATAAAGAAATGTTCCTTTGATTTTTCAGTTCCTCCCAGTTTTGTAGTTTGATACTGGGGCATAAATTATTGATAACAAATGGATAAACAGTGATACTGGGGCAAAAATCAGCAGGTTTTGGGGTCCAGCAGACCCAAATCAGTATCAAACAGGTTCTGCGAATGAAATTCCCTTCTGAGAGGGATTTCTTTGGCTCATGTGTTTGTCCTGTGCTTTACTTATCTGCACATTTTTCTGTGCCAGTGTCAATGCTTAGCTAAACTGCTCTTGGCCTCGTTTTGGGGCAGCAGGACCCCCCAAACCCTGAGGGCACACGTGTGAGCACAGATGTAGTTGGAATAGCTGGTGTTGCTGCAGCTGGAGAAGTGGCTTCTGTGGCTTTAATGGAGAGCCAGAGGTTATCTGCCCCGACCTTTGTGTGCTGGAGCGGCAGGAGCTGCGATCGATCGATGGGCTGCACTGGTGGCAGGCAGGGTGCAGGGCTGCACACAGCTCCCTCCTGCCCCAAACCCACAGCACACCCCTCTGCCTCCCATCTCCACATCTCACCTCCTTCAGGGCAGGTCTGGATGGGCTGTAAGTGCAGATCTGAGCTGTGGCAGCACAGAGTTAAAGGCGTTTGAGAGATGTCCTTGAATTGTGTCTCCCTGTAAAGTGCTCCATGGAGACATGGAATGGTTTGGGCTGGATCCTCAGGGATCATCCAGTTCCACCCCTGCCATGGGCAGGGACACATTCTGTTAGCCTGGGTTGCTCCAGGCCCCATCCAGCCTGGCCTGGAACACTCTGAGAGATGGGGAATAATCCATGTTATCCCTGGAAAGCCAAATAAATACCGCACTTAGCTACTTCTAGATGAGATTGAAGTCTTGCACTAGGCTGGACATCACAGAGCAAGGCAATATTTGAGTGTGTTCCATGAAGCTGAGATGCTGCAGTGAGCTCTTTGCCCAAGTCCCTGATTTTGGGGGTGTTGGGTTGTTTCCCTCAGCTGGAGTGACCACAGAAGCCATCCAGACTGCAACTGCCAGCCCAGATACCTCGGGGACAGAAGCCAAAGTCCAGGAGGAAGAGCATGACCTGGTTGATGATGACATCACGGCAGGTGAGTGTTAAGACAATATTTCTCTATTTTAATGTGTTTTGAGTTATTATTTTTCTGTGTGTTGTTACAACTTTTTACTCACAGAAGTAAAATACTTCAGAAGCAAATATTTCAGCAAACTGCAAGTTTGGCCACAGTGTGAAGTGTTAGCTTTTAATAACAACTGGAGCTTTGGGAGTACTTCGGGGGTTTCTCTCCCTTCCTGCTGCTGAGCTGGAGCCCTTTGAGCAGGGAGCAGCAGGTGCTGCTGCCCAGTGCGTCCTCCCATTACCAGCCCTGGAAAATTTGGGGTGGAGTGGAGGCCACAACAAATGGCACCATCTGGCAGCCCCAGCAGCGAAGCCAGTGGCCCACTGTTCAGCACAATGAGGGTGCCAAAAGAGCTGGGCCTGGGACAAAATTCCTAAAAAAAATGCTGGGTTGCCTTTAAGTAGGTTACGCTGGCCCTGAGCACAACCTAAAGCCCCATCACACGGAGTTTTGTGTTCCCAAACCCACCGGGGAGAGATGAGAAAAGCCTTTAATGTGTGTTTAATCACTCCTTGGAGCCCTTCCACCATCTCACTATTGTGTGGAGCTCCCCAAAAGTGAGGGGTTGTCAGCCAAACTTCATCCCTTTCAGATGCTAATGGGGGAAACACAGTGACTCTCCCTGGGACAGCTCTGTCCTTGCAGTTGCAGATGGAATGGGAGTGCAGGGACACAGGTGGACCTGGAGAAGTGAATTCTAAGGGAGTTTTTGCAGGTACCAACAGGAATTCTGAATGTGAGAAAGTATCCAATACGTGATTTTGTACTGACTCAACAGAGAATTTAGGTTCCTCCAGTTTGCAAGTGAGGAAGCATGAAATTTCAGGGAAAATCCTGCTCCTGTTTCTGTTTGCAGGGAGTATCACTGGGTGGAAGGGGGTTTGCAGCAAAGCTGCCTGTGTTTGCAAGCTGTGGCATCTGCCAGGCAAGCAGATGTCTCCCAGTAAGCCCTGTTCAGCTCCTCCAGGGGCTGTGGGCCTGACATCTGTGTGAGCAGCATCTGTCGGCCTGGGCAGGGCTCCCTCACTCAAGAGAGCCACTCTGGAGCCCGGGAGGGATTGAGGGAGGAGCCTGGGGCAGAGCTGGGAACCGTGGTCTGCCCAGAGACTGTGGCTGCCACGTCCCTGAGGTGTTCAGGACAGCTCAGGGCAGCCTGGGCTAGTGGAAGGTGTCGCTGCCCATGCCAGGGGTGTGGAACTCTGGGAAAATCCTATTAACTTGGGAAAAGTCGCTTCTCCTTATCTTAAAAACACTTAGCCCTTGATTTTCTCCCTCTTGTCTCAGGGGCATGAGGAATGCTCCAGTGGGAGAGTTTCCTTCACTCAAACACTGCTGGCATTGCAGCCAGAGCTTCCCAAGCCTCTTCCTCCCTGGATTTTCCTTTTTGGGATCTAATAATAGAGGAGTGATGTCCAAGTGTGTGGCAGGAATGTGCTCCCGACTTGTCCCTGCAGCAGGTGCTGAGGATTTCCTCAGACTGTCCTGCAGGAGTGGGATGAGAAGGGAAGGAGAATTCCTAGGCCAAGTCTTGTGTCATTTAACAAGTGCACAATTGGTTGGACTATGCAGGTTTGAAAACATCTCCCTGTGGTTAGTTAATAAGGGAGAAATCGGTTAGTTCCATTAAAACACTTTAGAAATGGTATTTCCTCAGTTTTTGTCAGGAGGTTTTGCTGAGTTGTTTATAGCTTTCCATGCAAACAACTTTGGAGCTCTGAAATACCATTCCTATGCATGAAAAATCTCATGGAGGATTAAACCACAAACTAGCCATGCCTTGTTGTGTTGGAACTTGCTTTCTGGCTGTAGCACCACTGGGTTAAAGTGATCATTTCAACAGCAGTTTTCATATGCCCAAAATGAAATTTCCCCTCCTTAGTTAGGCAGGAGAGAAGCTGATTAAAGCTCACCCAGCTCGTTCTGTTCCCAGGCTTTGCACTCTGATAAATAAATAGCTGATCCCTTTGATAAATAAATAGCTGAGCTGTGCTTCAATAGGCCAATTGCAGCATGTAATAGCTATTGAGAGGCAATTAAAGAGCCTTTGCTCGTGCGGGCGCGAGCCTGCCCTTTGCCAACCTTCAGCTTGATTTGTGGGGAGGCAAAAGGAACTTAAAAGTCTTGTTTGCTGACAGCTTAAAGCTTAATTGACTGAAAGCCAAACAGAGCGTGGGGGAGGCTGTGCCCTGCTCAGGGTGGGATTGTGCCATGGGCTGCTGCTTCCCACGGGCTCTGAGGGCACAGCTCAGTCCTCCCTCCTGCTCCTCCTCCTCCTGCTCACCACAGGCTCATTGTCCACACTTCTCCCTGGTGAAGCAGAGAAACGAGTTCAGTCTTGGTCACCACTGCCTGATTGAGGTGATCCCATTAAAAAGTCAAGTCTGCTAAAGTTTAAATCAGATTTATTTCAGCATCGTTCTGAAGACTCTTTATATTGAGTTTATATCAGCAATAACCAGCTCTGCACAGAATTTAGATTCTCATGGCTTAACTGTCCCTTCTGACAAGGGAAGTTTTGGTGCCCTGACTCAGTGCTCTGAGGGCCTGAGAACAGGTGCCTGCTCCTCCCCAGCTGAGCAGCACGGGATCCATTTTGTCTCTGCTTCCCTGGAAGAGGCTGCAGCATCCTCTCCCATTTTGTGCTCCCAGATGCTGCACACAGTGAAATATTCCCTCGTAAAAGGTATAGCACAGCAGAAAATTCCGGTGAACTGCCACAGATTGGAATGCCTGCAAAAATACTCATTTTGTGTGGAAAAAGCCCTTTTTTGTACCTGAGGTTAAAGACATGGAATTCTCCTTTCTAGTGCCTGACACCTCCCAGCATTTAAATAACCCTATCAAACTAGGCACAGTGTGGAATTCCAGATGTTCCGGAGCAGAGATTGTATTGGAAATAAGTAATTGGCACAGAACCAAAGCCAGATAAATGTAAACATTCAATAAGCTGTTAATAGGGATGAATAATTAATTAATAAGCAATTCCTTGCTGAATTCCAGACCACTCTGGATAGAGGGAAGCCTCGAGTAAGACCAGCCCAAACCTGGATCTCCCATTCTGAATCGTGATCATTTTATTCCAAGGAAGCTAAGGGTGAAACCAATTTAAATCAGAGTTCATTTGCAAATTTTGGGATGCTCTTCTTATTGGAAATCAATGGGAAGGCAGCA